TACTGATAGTCGAGAAGACAATACTTAATCCGAAAAATAAACTGTAGCTTGGCACAGGACTTATTTGCACGATACAGGACTCCGGTGAGACCAAGTCATGCATTTATTCCAACCAACTTCCGCTTCGAAATGAATATTCATGTCACTATGGCACTCTTCTGGAGCCAGTTTTTCTCGATACAATTGGCTGAATTCCTGATGAGCATTGGCCTTGGGCCTTTCGACTTTGTCATGGTTACCAGATGATCTTGGATAAAGTGGCCTTAAGTTGATGCCATGTCTCGTTCCAGCGTCCAACGTTGTGTCAGCACTTGTTCTGGGCACTCTTTTTGACCAAATGTCCACTAAACGATGGTGCTATCTCTCAACACCGCCTCACATGACCACTTTTCCCATCTTTCCTGCTCTGTATCCGCGTTTATCCGCCTACCCCTCCGATGTGTGTCCCCTCGAATGGGTTTAGTTGAGCGCAGTAACATGCCTCGGCACCTCCAGATGCCATTTGAGCCCTCCACGGGGCCATCAACTTTGCCCAACTTCGCTCTGGAGCATCCCGATCCCATCCAACCGGCCGACTCCACGCCCTCGATCCTGTCCATCCTATTCGTAATACACAAAGATCGCTGAACCAGCAGACGGGGTTGCTCTTGCATGTCACTTTGACGAGTTGTAGTTCGACGACAATAGCGTCGAGACGCCCGGGAAGGTAGCTGGGCGCCGTCTGTCGGCGAACTCGGGGACTACGTCCTTCAAAGCCTCCTCGAAATTACCACCAAACTGCAGAATGAGGTCAAGCCAAGTGTAAAAGGAGTAAAAGAAGCCCGATACGGCCAAAAGCTGTACCATTTCAGTCTGCTGTCAAATCAGCACTGAAGCTTCGGTTGACCTCTCCCACCCTTCACATGAGAGATTCACGTCAATATGCATATGATTTGGAATATACCACTTGTGTGCTTGTATGTGGGTGTGTTTCTCTGGCTGAAGAAGGGCTAATTCAGGCTAATAAACCAGTTTAGGCTAGAATTGGCATATAAATTTTGGCAATACAAATTATGCATTGCGTAAATATAGGTTTTAAACAGTCTGCCTCAAGAGCTAATGAAAAGTGGCAAGCAGCATTTCCATTCCAAAGACTAACGTATCTCATAGCAACCTATTAAGCGTCGCCAGGTCCGAAAAAACTGGCTGCATTACGCTTCGTATGGCTTAGTCTGGTGGTGTGGTTCGAGGCTGTACTCGGCGAATGAGGGACATTCACCTGCCACTTTTCATTACCACACAAGTGCCACACACAAGTGTGAGAACTAAGAAGTCTAATTTGGGAGTTTTAGCAAGCTGAAGCTTTTTATTTTAAATCCATTTTGAGTTTGCCAGAAGGCGTATCTAAACGGCCTATTCATGTGTGCATACATACATATGTCTTTATGTGTGTGTGTGTGTGTGTGTGTGTGTGTGTGGTTTTGTCGCTATGGAAAAGAGATGAGAACTGATAAACTTTTTATCCAACTACATTATAAACTGGAAAATGATACCGACTACGCCTATCGGCTGAAGATTAATTACTTTACTACGGAATATGGCAATTTGATATTCAAAAGAAATGGTTTAACCTGATTTTACAATTTGTTTGTATTGTCGTGAAGAGATCAAGACGACGTACCTTGTCCGGAGACCTCTGTCCGAGCAGCCATGATGATTTCCAGTGCCAGACAGTGGACTTGCTACATACTCACACGTTTCGCTGGCATTGCCAGGTTTAGCGCCAGACCACACCTCGTCAGAGAAAATAAAGCAGCAAAAGCACAATCATTCTGGAATACTTCATTCATCGGTCTGACGAGTTGTGGCTGGGTGCTAAGACTGACAGGCCTTAGTGACGATGCCAACTACGATACCGACGAGATGCCAGGGAATGTACCAAATCCACGGTCTGACAATGGAACTTATCATGAATAATCAGGCAGAGGTCTCCAGACAAGGTGGGCACATCGTGGTCACCTTGACAACGTGAACAGGTTACGAAACTGAGGGCCAACTGCTTTTCTATCGCGAGAGGAGACCTCGACCATTTGCAGGGAAGACACAAAATGTATGTAACTGTCCAGCAAAACCGAATAATGTTGAAAGAATGCTGCCCAAAAGGTCGAGCTGTAGGGCAGTTGAAAGACGAAAAGCGATTAGTAGAGGGTCCGGCTGGACAAATAAGTGCTGAAGGATGCCCCAAACTGAAAAATTCTGGCCGCCTGGGTGAAAATCACTGAAACTCGCATAGGCCTCCTCTCACTTGAAATAAACTGGCTTTCTCAGATCATATTTTAACGTGGAAATACAGAACAAATAACAAATGAACAATGTGATTTTTCATAAATATGCTCTATAAGCGATCATGGATATACATATGTTTCATAACAAAACTATAAACAGATTTATCTCTATACTACTGACAAGATGGAAAGTAACACGTTTCAAAGGTGGCACTGGGCAGAAGGCAAGATTGTCTG